GGGGGGGGGATACATTGTGTCGTCATCATCACAGTGAAAGAGTCCATAAAAGTTGTAAAGACAACAAGGAGATGATTAGTAACATTGTATCTCTGCCACCCCGGCCATTGTGCTGTCACCGCCCTCCCCGCTCATAGCTCCTTTGATTGGACGGGAAGGCGTCGGATGACCTCAGGTCGCCCATTTGTACCAACAGTGACGTCACCGTCCCTCCCCCAGAGCTGACCTCAGTCACGTCACTTCCTTAGGTAAACGCAGAGGCCGGTCTTTAACATGTGTCACCTGTGTGACAAAGCTGTGCGCCTCCAACCGGATTCCAGACATTCCGCGCCTGTCACATATACAATTTTAAAATGTATCTAAAGGCAAAACTTTTTTTTTTAAAGTTTTACTTGTGGGTGGAACGTAGAAGGTTTCGGACCTCTGTCAGGTCTTTATTGCTGTCTGGGGAGATTCACCATCTCGGTTCGTCCCAGTGACCTTTGTCACTGACGAGATTTATGGTTGTCACTAGAACAGGAAGGGAGGGTGAAATCATCCAATGGAGACGCCTGTTCTGGTGACAACAAAGAGGGGATATCCTCACATCCTCCCCAGGAGAGATTTCCTGCTACTTCCTGTTTTGGCTTTAGCTATACTTTAAAGATGACCGAGCGCAAGAGATCTGGAAGGATTAAGTATTGAAAAAAGCAGAACATACCGCTGGGATGGGAGTGGCGGAATTGAATGGGGAGGGGTGGGAGCTGGGAGGATGTGTAGGGGGGAAAAATTGGCCTCTGGGGGACAGATGGGTATATGAGAGGGAGTACGGAGCTCAAAGGGATTTTATGGCTTTGCAAAAGGTTAATTTTGGGGGTTAAGGTCATGCTATGAGTTATGTTTTAGGGCCCATTCAAAGAGACCTGTTGCATTTCAGTAAGGCAGCACATTGATTTCGATTGGGCTGCCGAAACGCTAGGGTGCAGGACCCTAAAAAAAAAAAAACAGTTGGTCCTGTGCCCTAATGTGTTGGCAGCCCATTCGAAATCAGTGCGCTGCCTTAATGCAATAGATTAAGTCAGTGCACTAATTTCGAATGGGCTGCAAACATACTAGGACACAGGACTGAAGGACGCACATTGTTTTATTTCCACACACGTTCTTAAATACCCTGCATGTTGGTGTCCTGCATTTGACTGCCCCGAATAACAAGGGCACCCCCTTAATTTTTTTTTAACAATAAGGGTTCAGACCCCATGCCCAGCTCGTGCTTTATTATGACAATTCCTCTTTTCTCTCCGCAGCTCCACGGACAGTGCTACGTGAATAGCGAACCCGCGGACATCAGGGTCACCGCCATGCTGGATCTGGGGTCCCCCCTTGAGATGATTCAGCTCCTGCAGGCCCCCTGGGAAGAGCGATTTAAAGTAAGGGGCGCGCAAACAATGGTGATTGTTTCAGGGCCCCCCCCCCCCCCCCACACACTAGGGGCCGGGATTAACCCCTCCGCAGCTGGGATGCAACCTGTGGCTTTGGCCCTCCCGCTGTGCTGAGGTTAATGAGTCCGGTTTTCAATGAGCAGAAGGGATTAGTGCAGAGGGCTGAGCAAACAGCTTGTGAGTAGGGAGGTGGGGGGGGACAATGGGGGGAGACCGGCCTGAACTAGGCAGCCGCCTAGGGCGCAGCCTTGACCACTCACCTGCCACAGCGCCCCTCCGTCTATTTCAAATTGCAACAGCCAATAGCAGGTTGGCTATTGCACCCGCCCACTGAGCAGAGGAGTGGAACTGTATGGCAACTTTCTCTCTCGGGTCCGCTCCTCTGCTCAGTGGGTGGGGTTTCAATAGCCAGCCTACTATTGGCTATTTCAATCAAATTACATCCACCTGTCGCCTGCAGAAGCTAACCCGCAGGAGAATGGGGCTGTGCAGGGGAGGGGGGAATTGAGGGTTGCACTGCGGGAGGGGGGTGCAAGTAGCTGGTCTTGCCTAGGGCGCAAAATAGTCTAACACCGGCCCTGCCCACACCTACCGCCACCCCCAATGAGATGCCTCATTATAGGGACACCCCTGAATACACATCTACAGTAGGGGGCAACACATCCCTCATCACACTTATAGCACCCCAATTTGAACGAACGCAACGCTGCGCACTTTAATGCATGTGCACTGCCACAGGGGTAGGCTACCTCGGCATTCCAGCTGCTGCCGAACTACAAGTCCCATGAGGCATTGCAAGATTCTGCCAGCTACAGGCATGACTCCCATAGGCAGACGCACGGTGGGATTTGTAGTTTCAGCACAGATGGAGTGCCGAGGTTGCCTACCCCTGCTCCAAGGACAACGGCAATTCTTCCTCTTACATACGTCTGTATCTGTCCTCAGGTCTGCCTGGAACTGGTGCGCTTGTTGCATTACCTGGCTAACTCGCCGCTGGGGTCGGTCGCCCTCCTGGATTTCCAGCCGAGGCAGTTCGTCCTGGTGGATGGGAGCCTGAAGCTGACGGATCTGGACGACGCCACAAGCGAAGAGATCTCGTGCAGAGAGGACGCTGATTGCACCCTCACCTTCCCTGCTAGGAGTTTCGGGGTCACATGCTCAGCTGGAGGGAGCTGCGTCAGAGCCAATGAGAAGAGAAATCTCTACAATGCGTACAGGTAACGGGTCCCAAGGCTGGTTTGCGAAATCCACATTTACCCCGTCTTCTATCTGTAACATAACCGAAGGAACATTTTTCATTTTCTCTGGTATGTTTAAACAGAATGGTCTTTATTAGACGTAGCAGCCAGCAAAAGAAAGGCAACGCGTTTTCGGGGGCTACGGTCCCCCTTCGTCAGGGCTGGGGAGTGGTAGTTTCTAAAGGCGGGACTTCTCTGAGTGTTCATGGATGGGAAATAAAAGCTGAACCTCTAGATTTTATGAAGAATAGAAATATTGCATCACTAAGAGCAAGCAAAGCAGTCCAGACTCTAGAACTAACACTCCTTAGCCTTGATGAAGGAAGGCTTTGTGGCACTCGAAACGCGTTGGGTTTTCTTTTTGACCGCTACGTCTCATAATAATAACAATGATCATAATAATTAGTAATAGTGCAAAGGAGATACAAAGTAATAATACAATGGAGGAGCGATTCGCCCTTAGGTTGGGGGTTTGGAGGAAATGTGTCCTAGTATTCATTCGTTCCCGGATTTTATGGTGACAACTTTGTCTTTCCAGATTTTTCTTCACCTACCTCCTGCCCCACGCCTCACCTCCCGCACTTCGACCGCTCCTACAGGACATCATGAATAATACAGGTACTCTAAGCAGACAATTTGTGAGTGCGGGGCTCTGTGTTTGTGTGCACAGGGCCCATATTTGTGTGTGCAGGGCCCCATGTTTTGTGTGTGCAGGGCCCCATGTTTTGTGTGTGCAGAACCTCATATATGTGTGTGAAGGGCCCTGAATGTTTGTGAGCAGGGCACTGTATTTGTATGTGCACCACACCATCTTTGTGTGTGCAGCGCCTCCTATATGCATCTGCAGGGCCCTGTATTTGTGTGTGGTGGGCCCCCGTCTGTGTGTGCAGGGCCCCATAGTTGCATGCACAGGGCCACGTATTTTGGTGTGCAGGGCTGCTTATTTTTGTGTGCAGGGCCAACAGCAGCTCCCTCAGGCGGCCGCCTGACTTGCCTTGCGGTAGCGCCGGGCCTGCATATATGCATGTGCAGGGCCCCATATATGCATGTGCAGGGCCCGATATTTGTGTGTGTAGGGCCCCATATTTGTGTGTGCTGGGCCCTGCATATACATTTACAGGGCCCATATTTGTGTGTGCTGTGCCTCATATTTGTGTGTGCTGGGCCCCGTATTTCTATGTGCTGGGCCCTGTATATACATGTACAGGGCCCCATATTTGTGTGTGCAGGCCCCCAAATCTGTGTGTGCAGGGCCCCATAGTTGCATGCACAGGGCCACATATTTTGGTGTGCAGGGCTGCTTATTTTTTGTGTGCAGAGCCGTATGTTTGTGTGTGCAGGGCCCCATATTTGTATGTGCAGGGCCCCGTATATACAGTATGTGTGCTCCTACTGACAGACCCTCCATAAAACATTTGCAATGGTTGCAGGTGATTTACGGTTTGGGATTCATGAAACCCTGAGGGCCTTTGAAGATGTCCTGACCTTCTACAAGTCAGGAATGAACCTGAGCCGCACCCGACATCTGGAAGGTCAGTCCCACAGTCTCCTTCCCTCCCTACAACCTTTTGAGATTTTTGCCAAAATTACATTGCAGACTTCGAAGTATTCGTCCCGTGACACGAGAGGGCCACAGGTAGAGAGCAGCGAATGATCAGCCAATCGCTCGCTGCTAAACAGCAAGCAATGACAAAGTTACATTGTTCAGGACTGCAGCTCCCATCATGCATTGCTTACAGCAAGCAATGATAATGTTACATTGTTCAAGACTACATAACCCATCATGCATTGCTTAAAGCAAACACTTGTAATGTTACATTGTTCAAGACTGCATCTCCCATCATGCATTGCTCACAGCAAGCAATGATAATGTTACATTGTTCAAGACTACATAACCCATCATGCATTGCTTAAAGCAAGCAATGATAATGTTACATTGTTCAAGACTACATAACCCATCATGCATTGCTCACAGCAAGCAATGGCAAAGTTACATTGTTCAGGATTACATCTCCCATCATGCATTGCTTACAGCAAGCAATGATAATGTTGCATTGTTCAAGACTACATCTCCCATCATGCATTGCTCACAGCAAGCAATGACAAAGTTACATTGTTCAAGACTACATCTCCCATCATGCATTGCTCACAGCAAGCAATGACAAAGTTACATTGTTCAAGACTACATCTCCCATCATGCATTGCTTACAGCAAGCAATGATAATGTTGCATTGTTCAAGACTACATCTCCCATCATGCATTGCTCACAGCAAGCAATGACAAAGTTACATTGTTCAATACTACATAACCCATCATGCATTGCTTACAGCAAGCACTGGTAATGTTACATTGTTCAAGACTGCATCTCCCATCATGCATTGCTCACAGCAAGCAATGACAATGTCACATTGTTCAGACGTGGAGTTGTAGTTCAGACGTCAGGCTCTGTCAGAGTGGTGACACCAGGAAGGGCATATTCGCAGGGCTGAGTGAAATGATGTCAGTGCATGGAGGAAGTCCATCCTATAGACATCTTCATCAGTAAGTCAGTTTACAATCTTCTAGATGGATCTGGTTATGAGGAGCGGGGTAGAACTTATGGAAGTTCAGTATATAAATGCAGAGCATTGTATCCGTCTTGTAATTCTGCCCCAATAAGAAGTCTCCGGTCCCTGATATTATGAGTGGCTTTGTTACACATTTCCTTCCTGTCGCTGATTTCATTAATATTACATTTATTGGGTGTTTTCCGCTCTCTTATTTTGGGATTTGCTCTTCCAGAATATTCTGCGCTCAGAGGATTCCGCGTCAACGAGACGACGGATGATTTCCGATGCTGGCCCTCCTACAACCACCAGGGATGCCTGCTCTCCATGCACAGCGCCGCGGAGGCAGCAGAATTTTGCATCCGCCACTCCCACTGCTGGAACTTCGTGATCGGCCAACACAGGACATGGACGGGTGGGTGTCCTATGACCTCCCACTACAGCAGGGGCGAGTCTTTAACAATGTAATATTATCATTGCTTGCTGGAAGCAATGCATGATGGGATATGTAGGCTTGGGAAATGGAGACTGCATCCCATCAAGCAGCAAGGGAAAGAGATGCAGAGCACACTGGGAATCCAGGAAGTTGGTGAAAGTGATGGGCAGGCGGAAGGCAGCGCTCACTACACCAGGGGTAGGCAACCTTGGCCCACCAGCTGTGGTGGAACTACAACTCCCATGAGGCATTGCAAGGCTCTGACAGCCGCAAGCGTGACTCCCAGAGGCAGATGCATCATGGCATTTGTAGTTTCACCGCAGCTGGAGGACTGGAGTTGCCCACCCTTGTACTACAGGGACGCCTACCACAGTTTGGGGGTCAGTTGTAGTTTAATTGATTCTGGTTGAACTTTTCTTAGGTTTTTAAATTGATGTTTTATTATTAGGTTGTTTTCTTTTCTACCTGGATACAATCTTCACAAATAAACATTGATTGCATGAAAAGGGATTCCCAGAGCTTGATGGGTTAGCTAGAGAGCAAAGCAGCAATCATCTCCTTTCAGGCAGGATGACAGTCTAGCAGCCTTGGCATGCGTCAGATTATTATTATTATACAGGATTTATATAGCGCCAACAGTTTGCGCAGCGCTTTACAATATAAGGAAGACATTACAATGCAATTCAAGACAAGATGGTAAGGAGGGCCCTTCCCCTGAGGGCTTACAATCTATGCGGGAGGAGTAAGTGATATATGAGGAGGGAGCTGTGTTTGTATGAATTGTTTGAGAACGTGATGGTCGAGTGGCCAGGTTGAGGTGGGATAGGCTTCCCTGAAGAGATGAGTCTTAGGGGAACTCCTAAAGGCAGTCAAGGTGGGAGATAGACGGACAGGTTGGGGTAAAGAGTTCTAAAGGATGGGAGAGACTCTAGAGAAGTCCTGGAGGCGAGCATGGGAGGAGTTGACAAGGGAGCTGACAAGCAGGAGGTCATGGGAAGAACGGAGGGGACGGTTAGGGTGATACTTTGAGACAAGGTTTGAGATATAGCCCGTCTGCTTCTGTCTGCTTCATCAGCTTCTTTTGGGGGGTCCTAGGTTGACAAATTTAAAGTTACACATAAAAAAAATAAAAAAACAAAAAAAATGTTTAAAGTCCCCAACATGCGTCGGGGGCGCATACATGCAAACATGCGTCGGGGGCGCATACGTGCGAAAAAGACGATTGCATTTCAAAATTTTCTGTCATTTTTCCTAATTATAATAAAAAATAAAAACCCCGTAGTGGTGATTCAGGCCCCATTCACACCTATGCGTATTGTAATATGCGCGTCTGTCGCGCTTTTTTTTTACCACGATTCGCGGTAAAAAAGCCGCGCGACCGTCGCGCGATTCCAAAGGCTACTTGGCAGTATACAAATGGTAAACGCCCTACAAAACGGACCAATACGCAGCAAAAAACGCTCCGGGACCTTTTCATGCGTGGGCCGTTTTGTAGTGCGTTCGGGACGGGCGGAAATACGGACAGGTGGGAACGAGGCCATTGACTACAATGCTATTTATTTTTTTGACCGTTTTGTAGAGCGTTCATCGAGCGTAGGACGCGCTACAAAACGTTCAGGTGTGAATGGGGCCTCAATACCACCAAAATAAAGCTCTATCTGTCCCCAAAAAATGGTATAAAATTCATTTCAGTACAGCGTTGCATGACGGAATAAACGTCAGTCAAAGGACTGCAGCGCTGAACACTGAAAAATGGCCTGGCCAGGAAGGGGGTCTAAACACCTGGTCTTGAAGTGGTTAAATATGCTACATAGGCCTCTCGCCCCGTCTGAGGGGTTATTGCAGCTCGTGAGAGAACGTGGAAGCTGATACGTAACTTAGCGATAGTCATCTCACAAACAGAAAAAAATGTTGTTTTTGTGGGGAAGTTGAGCCTCGGGGACATTCTCCGTCCATTTCCGAATTCCGGCGCCGGCGCTGGACCGTGCCGAGCGCAGTCAGCTGTCCGTTCTTCATTATGCAAAGAGAACCTGTCATTTAAGACCTATAAAAAAGTCTGAGTGTATACCCTCCATTGTGTATTCGCAGGTCACTATCTTGTGGTGTTCGCCAGCAAGGAGGCACGGCTTATTCCAGATGAGAATTCCTTTGTCTACGTCCGGCATTCAAGTAACGACGAAGGTCTAGCTGTGCAGAACTTGAAACAGGAAGGCTAAAGCGACGCTTACCGCCAATCACAGCGCATGATACTTGTAGGCATCCAACCGGCATCATTATGAACTGTCCAAATGTATCATTAGTGATAGTAGTGCTTAGGGCCACACTGGCCATCCTGTTGCTGGTGAGAACTAGTGTTGGATCCCTGGTGTGACTTGCCCCTTAAGGGGCAACTGAGCTCTGGAAGCTGTGGTTCCTTGGGGCCACACTGGCCATCCTGTTACTGGATGAGAACCAGTGTTAACTTGGATCCCTGGTGTGACTTGGCCCTTAAAGGGCAACTGAACTCTGGAAGCTGTGGGTCCTTAGGGCCACACTGGTCATCCTGTTGCTGTCGAGAACTGGCATTGGATCCCTGGTGAGACTTGGCCCTCAAAGGGGAACTGAACTCTGGAAGGTGTGGGTCCTTAGGGCCACACTGGCCATCCTGTTGCTGGCTAGAACTGGCATCGGATCTCTGGTGTAACGTCGCCCTTAAAGGGCAACTGAACTCTGGAATCTGTGGATCCTTAGGACCATACTTGCCGTCATGTCACTGGCGAGAACTAGTGTTGGATTGCTGGTGTGACGTGGCCCTTAAAGGGCAACTGAACTCTGGAAGCTGTGTGTAGGGCAAAGGACTTGTCACAGGTATTGCCTGTGGTCTCTCTGCAGCTGATCATTCCCCCATTACTGCCTCACCAAGCCTTGTTCTGCACTGTGTCTCTGTATGGAGGCGGCCATCTTGGTAGAGGCAGAGCTTTGCTTCCTCATCTCAGAGCCTCCAGCAAAGAGAACAGTGAGCAGCACAAGAGTGACATCACCAAATCTCTTAAGACTAGCAGCCAGAGTGCCCTAGGTGATCTTACACTGCAGATACACAGCGAATGTCATGCAGAAGGTCCTTTGATTGCAACATTCCCTTTTGGAATAAATGGAGTTTCCAGAATTAAAACCTCATTCACTGTTAGAATCTAGTTATTTCAAAGAAAATTTTCCATCCTGCTTCAAATCAACCATCGATTTGACCCCATTAACTATTAGGAAGTTGAACAAACATACAGAAAATGAATTGTAAGAACGAAATCCTGCTGCTGCATAGCCAGCTTTAAGGCTCATGTACAATGCAAATTTGGGTGTATTTCATCACCGGGGAGACACCGGTGCTGCGTACAGCCTCCCATAGAAATCAATGGCTGTAGGCGGATATATGCCCGTACTTGCATAAAGACGTTTGCCCCTGGACACAGAGTGACTGCTTCCAGGTCTGTATGCCATATGCATGCGCATGTTTACACTGGTCTCGGCGTATACCCGCTTACAGCCATTGATGTCTATGGGCGACTGTACGACGAACCTGCAGTGGGGAAATACACCTGAATTTTACATTGCGCGGCCCCAGGATTTGGGGGGGGGGCATGAGCCCTAAGATGAACAATCGAGATTTAATGGGAGAAATTTACTAAAACTGGAGCACACAGAATCTGGTTTGCTGTGCATAGTATCCAATCAGCTTCTATCTTCAGGTTGTTCAGTTAAAGGAGAACTATGAGTTGAGTGCTTTTCACTCACCTCATAGTTCTAGCCGACCTGTGACAATGAGACTGTCACAGGTCGGCATGGTATACTGAGCCTAGGAGGACGCTAGTTTGTGTCCTCTCGTTACCCTAAGGAGAACTATGGGGAAAAGCCTTAACCGCATAGTTCTCCTTTCAACTTTCAGGGCCGGTGCAGACCTGGGCAATCTGGGACGCACGGTCGTGCACAATTGCACAGAGCGATTGCCGCAGTGCCCCGTTGATCTCAATGGGGTCACATGTACCTTTCTTTTGCGACTCACAACGCGTGGCTGTTTTAGCCGCGGCGGGAAACCGCACGATCCTCCCTGCGCGACAGGGGTGCCATTACAAAATAATGGCAGAGCCAGCATGATCGTCGGAGGTGACCGGACAGCAATCCGCGCAGTATCGTGCACGATTGCCACGCGGTCCCGGATCGCCCAGGTGTGAACCTGGCCTGAAAATGAAATCTAGAAGGTGATTGGTTGCCATGCATAGCTGCTCCATATTCTGTCTGCTCCACTCTTAGTAAATTCCCTAATTCTGCCTTTATAGTTCTCCTTCCCCAGACCAGAATAACCCAATCGAGATACCGTAAATAGGGAAAAAACTAAAGGGGTGTAAAGGCGTCTTATCCATATACTACAGAATCCCGCTGTCATTTCTTATCTTGCGTCAGCTGAACTCTGATTGGTTGCTGTCAGCAGCACAGACAATTTTGCTTCCTCCACTTTTGACGAATGAGGGTCATTTGGGCATCGGTCTAGGTGTGTCTTATTTTTGACCTTATAGGTATAAAAAAAAAAAAATGTGCTTTCAGTGAAAGTAATATTTTATAAAAATCTTTATATTTGATGTTTATAATAAATCCTTTTATATACAAACTTTCCGAGTTTTATCTCTTTAGTTTTATTATCTTGCTTCCGATAATAAATGGTTACATTATTTAAAGGTGACTTCTTTAATGAAATGTAAAGTAAATACATTTACATTGAAATTTTATTTTTCATGCCATTTTGGTTCAGCTTTGAAAATAAAATGAAAGCACAGGGCGTCAAGGCTCCTCCCCCCTGCCCTGGACTAATGCTGCAGACAGCGGCTTCATTTCATTATGTGGCTCCGCTCTCTGCTGCATTTAGGATCCGCCCACGACCAGAGGACCTGTGATGTCACCGGACCCAACATCATTGGAATAAAGGTCAACTATTATTTTTTTAGGGCTGGGGCTTGATCCAAGAGGGGCAAACAGAAAGGGGGAGGGGTAGCCCCAAAACAAAAAGAGCGATACAATCTCCACAATACGACGAGGTGTCAATTTGCATATGGCATGGACACAGCACAATGCAGGATTTCTGTATCCTGATCTCATATTGGTCATAGAAATTAGCAAACAAAGTTTTTTTAATCCATAGTTCCGCAGGCGAGCGCCAATCATTGGTGAACCGCAAACGTCTCAAAACTGCAAATGGAAACATCCAAATTTTACTGAACCTTTGGGTAGCGATTACCTGCTCCATTCTGTGGCTTGGTTCTGTATGTTTTCCAACTGCTGCAGACCGACAGTTAATACTTGGGGGCATGCAATGTATGTGGATGTCAGATTACTTCCATTTGGCTCCAATGGGGCATGTTATGTTAAAAAAAAGAATTGTTAAAAAGAAAAACCCCTCTGGCGCAGTGCCAGCCTCTCCCCTGCGCCCTTGAATATTAATCAGGGTTACACCATTAATTATTAGCGGGATGGGAGGCAAGCTCTCGTAGTTTCATCTGACATGTTTACTGGAGGGGGAAGGCTGTGCATTCATGTGCGCACTTGTGTACGGATTTAGCCGGAGCTAATGATGCCCCTCAGCAGAGTTTGCAAGTCATGACACCTATGCCAATTTTAATACGTGTGCCCATAACAAACCGATAAACCAAAAAAAGTCCAAAATCAGCTTTCAGGTTAAATCAGTTAAATACGTTTCAGGGGCATCAAAACTGGAAGTGCGCAAAGTCTTACTTGTTGTTATAAAGCAGCCACAGCCCGAGTAGAAAATCCTCTCCCCTGCCAGCAAGCTTCCCTTCCAGTGATTCAAGTGTTGAAGCAGAAGTCTCTCTGCAAAGGTCCGACAGTTGGCCTAAAGGGAACAGGAAGTGTACATTTATGATGGCAGAGTTAACATGGGTGTAAGGACCTGAGCCATCGCAAAGCTCTTTGGTATTTGGCTGACTGGGGCCTTGATAGCTGACTTGATAGATGCACTGATACCCCAAGTAGTGTTGCCGGAGTTATTCCCTGCTTGACTACAACACATCTGCCCCTCTACTTGTCTCCATTATATACAGAGAGGGGGTGGTGTTCTGTAGTCCAGCACAATATAAGGAAGACATTATAATACAATTCAAGACAGGATGGTAAGGAGGGCCCTGCCTGTGAGAGCTTACAATCTAAAAGGGAGGGGCATATCTTTTTTATTTTCACCCCTAGAAAAAAGAAAAGGAGGCATTAACCCTTGCAGTGCAGGGGTAGCCTCACTTCAAGGGTTAACTTTTCAAAATCCTGGAGTCCTCTAAAGCAGTGTAACCTCAGGAGCCACATTTTTTGTCCTTGGTCATTAAGTTGCGACCCAAGTTGCACTGCAATGGAACGCACAACATTAGGGCACTGCATGTTTTGGTGCGGGCATAGGAACTGTGGGTGGGAGATGCGTTTGGGGTCCCATACAAATGAATAGTCACTCCGGTCCAGGCACCTCTATAGAACACGTGAGGGAGCTGTAAGCAATGCATGTATGGATGGAGCTCCCTCGCGGCCATAGCCCCATCCAATCCCACCTCAAGCTGAAACTCTGAATGGCTGCTTGGCACCAGAACTGACAGTGCTGCACTAGAGGGAAGCAGGGGAGCCTAGAAAAGTGGAAGGCATGAGGCGACCCACTGAACACGGGGTCGCGACCCACTTTTGGGTCACGACTAAGGATGGGCTCGGGCGTGTTCGCAGCTCCACGTGCCGAGCCCGCCAGGAAGCTGACAGCGCGCAGCGCCAATCACAGGCACATAGACATTTCCCGTTCTCTGCACCCGCTGACCGGGAAAATGTCTGAGTACCTGTGATTGGCCCTGCACGCTGTCAGCTTCCTGGCGGGCTCGGCGCGAACACAACCGAGCCCATCCTTAGTCACGACCCACCAGTTGAGAACCAAGGCTTTAAAGTGACCCATGGTGAATGAAAGTCAAGCCAACTCGCATAGCCAATACACACGGACGCACCAGGACAAGCATCGAATCCCTATCCTGCGCCGACTCAATCACTCAGCAAGTCCCCCAGGTACACATGGAGTCCAGGGAGTGTATGGTGAGCGATGATCCCGGGCTGAGTATTCTCCTCATTGTCTCATGTTGATTAATTTGCTAATTGAGACTCCATTGTTTTTTTCTGCTCAATCAGCAAAATGTCCCCCTATAGACAATGTGTCTGT